CTTCGCGGCGCCGTCGCACTGCTGTTGGGCGCGTTCGACGGCCCGTTGGAAGTTGCGTTCGCTCTGAACGGGGACTTCGAGGCAGCCGTGCGCGGTGGCTGCCCCGGCGGCGGAAGCGGCGGCCCCTCTCCGCTTCGCTCGGCGACGTCGACTTGGACATGGCCTGCGCCTCGGGGGGAGGGGGCGCTGAACGCGGCCACTTGCCGCCCCCATTCGGGCCCCGTGCATTCTCGGGGTCGCAGCAGCTGTTGTTCGAAGACGAAGCTGGCGCTGAGACCATGGCTGGCCGCGGCACCGGCGGCCCCTTCGCCGCGCCACTGGCGGCGCAGTCGCTCGATGGAGCCCCGGTCGGCGTTGGATGGATCACCCGATTCTTGGCGGGTGCGACATGTCGGGGAAGCCTCTGGGGATGCCCTACTTGGCCCTCCACAGTGGATCCGACGGGATATAGTCCTTCACCGCAGCCACCTCACGCGCGCACCACTGTCCGCCAAGCCGAGGCAAGACGAGAGCCGAAGCTTACTCAGGCCGGCCCCGAAGAAGAGCGGGTGGGCATCATGGCCCCACTGCTGTCTGAACGACAAATCGCCCGGGTCCTCCGCGAGGTCCACCGGCGACGGCTAGAGCGCGAGGTGGTCCATCAGTTCCCTGTGCGTCTTTCCAGGGGGAATGTCGGTGACTATTCCTTCTTCCTCATTCCAAGCTCTTCTGCGCGCAATCTTGCCTTCGTCATGATGCTCGGGCAGCGGTGCTTGATGGCTCCCTCGTTCGTCACCTTTGAGATGTTGCGCCAGAGATATGTCCGTGGCCTCTTGGGCCGACCGACCAGCAAGCATAGCATGCTGATCGGCGGTCGTGCGCGGCCTGGGCATGCGGCAGCGGCCGTTGACCCGGTCGCCCTTCCAGTCGGCGAATAGCATGGCAGAGAATATTTCACCATCGTCTCACCGACGGGGAGATGCCATTCTTGGCCCCGAACCACTGGGGAGGCATAACCAATTCCGCCGTCATAATGCCGACCAGGAGTACGAGGCACATGTCCCGACGCCACCTGTACACAGAAAGCCCTCCGCATATCGCCTGAGAGCGTAGCTCCTCCCCCTTGCGCAGAGTAGTCGGGTTTGCGCGGGGCATTCGTGAGCAAGCCAGCAATGATGGGGTTGAAGTTGAAATGCGACGGCCTAGTGAGCCTGGGCAGTCGAAGTTGAATTAAACCGCCTGGCGGCCTCGCGAACCTCTTCCTTAGTGCATCCGAAACCGAAGTCGAAGACCTGGCACAAACGGGGCACCGTGTACCACGGGACGACATGTTCGCGCCACTCGCCTCACCTGTTGTCCTGAGGCGGGCGTTTTCTTCACCTGTGGTGGTGGGGGATCAAGGGCACTCGGCAACTCTCCCTGCCATTCAGCACATTGTGTAGACAAGTGATGTTCACATCACAAATAACGTCCCACGTGAGTTGATGGATCGATCTCGATATCTCGATGCCCTTGGGGCAGCCTTCGGAGGCTTCTTGTAAGAGTGGCCACCCTTTTTCGAGGTTTGCTCTTGGTCCCAAAAGTTTGAAACCGTCAACATCAATGATAAGGAACAAACGCATTTTTGTGGAAGTAACAACTACGCCAAGGACTAAAGTTAATAAAGCCTTTGGAAATCACGTGCCTTTGGAAATCATGTTCCCGGTATCCACCGAACCCGGATGTCCATAACATGAGAGGATGAAGGGACGCACAGGGTTTCTGATGTCTTTCCAAGCGGGCGGCCACTCGAATCTTGGCAAGACAATCCATGTTGGAGTTCCCCCAAATTTGGACTGAGTGTCAGCCTGTATGGCGTCCGCCTGTTGAATGTCATGTCCTTCGGACAGACCATAAGTATCAGCCGCGTCGCTGGCCTGTATAGTGGCCGGGCTGCTAGAAAGTTCCTGAAATAGCGTTACGTCTCTATTATGATCTCTAGCGCCCGACCCATCAAACACAACTCGGCCTTTATAGTTGCGGCAATTCTGCCCGACTGGGAACTCTGAAATCTTTTCTACCAGAATGGCAAACAGACGTCCGATTAGAAATGAAAGTTCAACAATGATTATTCTTCAGAAGTGAAAATTCAACAACAACAACAACAGCAATCATTTCAATACTCTTCGCCCTGATATGCTCGAGTGTCCAGTAACGCGTATTTCCCAAACCCTCGATACCCGCCCTCTTCGTCTTCGATCGAACCCCTTTTGGGGGGAACACCTTTCTTCCCTGCAGGCCGGGCCCCGGCAAGCGGCGGGGCGGCCGCGGACCGTCGGCCTGGCCAGCGGCAGCGTCGGCGAAGCGGCCGCGGACCGTCGACCCGACCCCAAGAGGGACGGATAGGGGACCAACCACGACGACGACGACGACGACGACGACGACGTCGAAGACGACGGCGACGACGACGACGGCGGCGACGACGAGCGAAAGCGAGAGCGCGAGAGAACGACAGCAGGGCCACAAGGACACGAAGTAGGGCACGAAGGGCGACAGCGGGGACACGAAGGGAATGCGTATGGGCCCACGAAGAGCGCGAACGACAGGGGGCCACGAAGTGCAGATAATGCGGGGCCACAGAAGACAACTATGGGGCCACTGAGGGTAGCAACTGGGCCACGTAGGACAGTGAGGGGGGCACAAGGGGCGACAGCAGGGCATGCACATGGGGGCACAACGGGCGCGACTCCTGGGTGCCTGGGTGTCGGGAGCGCGGCGCTTGCGCAAATTGTAAAACATTCCAACGCAAGGCCATTCTTCAGTCAGGTGCAAGCAAGTCTCCAACGAGTGCGCGACTCCAGAACGCCGGGAGAGCGATTCCTGAATAAATTGTAAGGAAGTCCCAAGCGCCGACCCTGTCGGCGTGTGTGAGGGGCTTTTCCGTTCGAGACGTCATCCCCGTTGTTCGTTGGTCGTCGTCTCTGTCGTCCCCCTTCCTTGCGCCTCCCTTTCCGTGGGCCCGTCGCCACTCCCGTCCTCTTTCCCAGCAGGGGCCCCTGCTCAAGCGCGCCAGCCCAAATGAACTTCAGCAACGTCGTATTTGAGTCGAAGGGAAGCCCCTTCCCTTTGATCCCTCCCCCGCCGGGAGGGGGGGGGGGTAGCGGGGGGGTCCCCGGGGGGGGTCCCGGGGGGGGGGCGCCACTCAGATACGACGCCCCCCCCGCAAGTACTGCACGTCCTCCAGGGTCGGCGGCACCGGCCGTAAGGCCTTCGCAATTGTAAGGAAGTCCCAAGCGAGAGCGCGATTCCTGAATAAAATGCGAGGAAGCCTCGAGCGGGAGCGGGGGTCCTGGCTAAATTGTAAGAAGTCTCAAACGGGAGCCGTAGTGGTTGTAACCCGGGGGCCAAGGGGCCAGTTTGAGCAGGAAGACTTTCCCTGTCAAAAAACATGGTGTGAGCGTCGAGGGGCACGAGCACACTTTGATTGAGAAAAACAGTAAGCACCGGTGGGGGGATCAACAATAATTATTTTTCAGAAATGAGAACTCAACAATAACATCAACAACAACAACAACAACAACAACAACAACAACAACAACAACAACAACAACAACGGCAACGGCAACGACAACTATTACTGTAAGACTGTTCGCTCTTACTGGCACGCGTGTCTTGCATTCTGTACACCCCAACCCTCGATACCCGCACACTTCGTCTTCGATTGCACCTTCGGGGGGAATATCTACCTTATCGGCCACTGACTGAAGTGAGAGGATCTGTCGAGCGAGAGCGCCGTTCGTTCGGGGACCTCTCTGGCCACGGGCTCTCGGAATACATCTGGAGAAGTATCGAACGTGAGCCCTTGTCGCCGTGTCTGGGCCTCCACCAACTTGCCTGAATTACGAGAAAGTCTCTAGCGAGAGCGCCACTCTTGTGTTCTGGGGCCCCTCTGGCAAGGGCCTTTGCGAATACATCTTGAGAAAATATAGAACGAGAGCCCTTGTCGTGATAGTTGGGCCTCCACCAACTTGCCTGAATTACGAGACAGTCTCGAGCGAGAGCGCCACTCTTCACTTCGGGGGGCTTCCTGGCCAGGGGCTCTCGGAGTAAATCGTGAGGGAATATCGAGCAAGTGCCCTTGCCGTCGTGGCTGGGCCTCCACCAACTTGACTGAATTACGAGACAGTCTCGAGCGAGAGCGCCACTCTTCAGTTCGGGGGCCTTCCTGGCCAGGGGCTCTCGGAGTTAATCGTGAGGAAGTATCGAGCGAGAACCCTTGTCGTCGTGGCTGGGCCTCCACCAACTGAACTGAATTGCGACAAAGTCTCGAGCGAGAGCGCCGTTCCTGAGTTCGGGGGCCTCTCTGGTCATGGTGTCTCGGGGTAATGTGTGAGGAAGTATCGAGCGGTGGCCAGTAGCCAGACCTCCAAAGGCCTACATTTACACTCAAGCCAACGCTCGCGCCGGAGCCTCGTTTCTAGAGGAAATGTAGCCGGTGCCGAAGCGAGAGCGCGCTGAACCGTTTTTGGAGATCAGCAATAAGTATTCTCTAGAAGTGAATATTCAACGACAACGACAACAACGACGACGACGACAAGGTGGACTTACCTTCTTCGATCCGGCATTACGCAGGCGGCGTCCAGCGCGCCTGTCGAAGAACGACGTTCCCGCCGCTCCCCAGAGACAGAGCATACGCAGCGCGACTACGCGGACTCTTCCTCCAACGCCTCTTGGATGTGGGCATGGTCCGAATGAGGGGGCCGAACGGTTTTACACCATCCCTGAATGGGTGGGTGAATGAAGTGGGCTTCCGTGACCCGGAATATGTTTGATGCTTCTTCTTGTCGTCGTTGTCGCCCCCCCCCGCGGCCCACTCGCGACCCACCCCGCGACCCACCCGTGACCAACCCGCGACCCACCTCGCGGTCCACCCCGACACTCACCCGCGACCCCCGCGACCCACCCCGCGCCCGCCCCCTCCATCGTATCGGCAAACGTGGGGTGCGACATACGGTAACACTCGTCGATCGTGGCCCAGGTACTTCCTGAAGTCACCCGACGTGCTCGTGGACAGCACCACGGCCCGCAGCCCGGGAGGGCCCTGGATCCCGATCGCCCCGAGCAGCCCCAGGACCAGCGCCGACGTCTTGCCGCACTGCGGCGCGCCTTGGACGGTGACGAAACTCTTCTGCTCGTCCTTCGGCAGGCGAGGCAAGGAGGCGGCGGCGGACTCAGCGTTGGTTGATGCAACAGCTGGGATCCTCATGACCCGAGGACCCGTGCTCGTGCTACAAGTTTGGGGAGTCTGACTCAGGAACGAAGGGGCTTCTCTCGGGGCTCCCTGGGAGGCTACGACGTGCGCAATTGTCGCCACCTTCGTGGGCTCGTGGGAGGCACCGCGGAGATGAGGGTTGGCGATGTGTTCTTTTGTATGGAGCGTTCATGCATATATTCGCCTCGCATGGAGAAGGGTTTGGGTACGTCTCGGGTAGTTCCAAATCCTCCTGTGTGTTGGGCTCTCGTTAGGAATAGAGCACCGTGGTCTCCACCTCCTCTTCCTCCCGCCTCCTTCCTCCGTCTTCCTGCCTCCGTCTGCGCTGCTCCCTGGGTGGCTGCGAACTTTGCAACCGTCGCCACTTTCATGGGATCCTGGGAGGCACGGCGGAGTAGCAGAGTATCGGAGACCTCGCACCTCCCTGGGAGGCTGCGAACTGCGCAACCGTCGCCACGGGCTTCTGGGAGGCACGGCGAAGCGGCAGTGTACCCGGGACCACGCGGCTCCTCGGGGGCTGCGAACTGCGCAACCGTCGCCATTCTTGCGGGCCCCTGGTAGGCACGGCGAAGTAGCAGAGCACCCGAGAACCCAACACAGGAGTGTTGGGAAGAAAAACGCGGTACGGTGCAGTCTTTCGGCCATGGGGGCCGCAAAACTATGCACCGCACCGTTCCTGGGCTAACGATCGACAACGCCTTGGGAGACGCCAGCGCGGCACGGTGCGCACAAGCCAGCCGCGGACCAGTGCTGCAGTGGCCGTGGCCCACCGCGAGGCTGATGGCAGCGTGTAGGAGCGCCCTGCGTTTGAGGCGGCTGAGGGGTCTGAGATGGGTGGACCCGGAGAAAATCTATTAGGAGGGGGGATGAAGCCAGATCCGCTCCATATCGGTCCCCAGGCACCTGACGGGGTCCATCTGGTGAATTTGTTCGCATTGGATCCCTTCTCGAAGCCCAAAAGCGGCCTCCAGAAGCGGAAACGGGCAAAACACCTGCACGGTGGCCTTCCCCTCGCCCCCCGCTCCCGTTGGCCAGAACTGGCTCAGGCCCCCACCCGGCTTCAAGCCAAGCCACGCGTGCCGCCCCCTCGGCAGCCTGGGGCCGAGAGGGGGGCTGCCATGGCTTTCCTCCCGCGGCCTCAGGCGCACAGGTGTGTGCGGGCGCGCGGCCGCGGCAGGGCCAGCGAGCACGCCTCGGGCTGGGAGGTGTGCCCACTGGGACAGGACGAGGAGAAACAGGAAGACGCAGCACCAGCCACGCGATGCCTTGACAATTGTTCCATGCGCAGTCCCCAGAAGACCCGACCATTCACCCAGAGCCAGCTGTTCATCCTGAGTCGCTTTTCTGCCGGCCCTGCGGCCCCGCGAGTGCCCCCAGAGGCAGAAAACTAAGATGTCTGGGGGAGGACCTCTGAGAGGCACCCTCCCTCCCACTGCAGCGGCCGCCACCCTGTCCTGCCGCAGGATGCCCATCACCAGCGGCAGCACGCGCCGCTGCATGGCCAGCGGCTTCTCCCAGCCCCACGTCCGAAGCCGCTGCTGCATCTGCTCGCCCACCTCTTGACGAGCAAACTCCTGCACTAGCATTATCTTCTGGAGGTCCGAGCGGATTTTCCTGGACCGGCGCTGGGCCGCCCCGCTGGGCCGCCCCTGGCGGCGCCTTTGGCTGGATAGCAGAATAACCATCCTCGTGATAAGCACCCCGACAGGCAAAGCCGTTTAGTAAACGCACCCAAGGAAAGAATCGAACAGGGCAGGGCTGCAGTAAACGCCCAGAGCCGTTCAATTCTGGGGGTCCGGGTGGCTTCTCCTCCCTTGACTAGCGCCGCCAAGGAGGGGGACCCAACCGCTGGACGATCCAACAAATCCGCGCAGGCCTCCGAAAGATTATGTTCCTGCAGGTTCTCCCTCGAACCTCCGCGGAGAGCTGGCGGAAGTCTGCGAGCACCCCGCCAGAGGCCTCGTGCCTGTCGGCCTCCGAGAACACCTCGATGCGGCTGCCGTCGTGTGCCATCACCTCAAATGGAGACCTCCTGAATGGGGTTCGACTAGATGGGGATGGGAAGATCGCGTCGCATATCGGCGATGCATCACCGATGCATCGGCGACGTCGACGATGCATCGGCGACGTCGGCGTGGCGATGCTGCCCGATCCTCCGACTCCATGGACTTCGACCCCATTTGGGAGGCCTGGATCAAGGAGAAGAACCTGGACCCCTGCCAAACCACAGGGGTGCCCGTCGATGGCGCGCCCCTGCAAGGGCGCCAGACGGGCCTCGAGGTCCCAAACATCCAACGATGCGAACTTCTCGATCACGGCGTCTTTCCTTGATTTCGGCCTCTGGGGTCCGCTTTCTGGCGCCCGTGCCATCACATTGGATACGGGACGAAAAATCGCCGCCTAAGGAAGGGGTTGGCACCTCTAGGCCGCGGATTGGCACGGGCCACGCTGCCGGATGTCCCGGGTGGTGCCAGCCTTGGGCTCCAAGGCTCGGGGCCTGTAGGAGGGGGAACGATGTAGCAGAGGATCGGTCGGCAGAAGCAGACCGGTGCAGAAGAAGACCAGGGGGAACGATGCAGAAGAACGAGGTCCGCGCGGATCTCCTGGGTCGGCGCTGAACCCCTGCCCAGCGCGCGGAGCGCGCCAGGGGCGGCACTGGAGGCGCCGCACTCGACTCAGGGTAGTGCCAAACTTGGGCTCCAGGAGCCTACAGACTCGGGCCCCTGGGAAGGGAGGGGGAGGGCTGGGGGAGAACATGAATTGGGGGTGGACTGGCTCAGGGGGGAAGCATCGACCTGGAATCGAACAGATCGGCGATAGGCCCTCGATGGCGAATCCGCACGGTCCTGGGCGGGGTCGGGCTATCGGGCCCCTCTCGTCGATCAATGGGCGATCGGGGGTCGATGTGTGCCCCCAGAGTAATCTTGCCCCTGAGGAGGAGGAGGAGGAGGAGGAGGAGGAGGAGGAGGAGGAGGAGGGTGGCCAAGACCTTGGAATCCCCAGTGTTCGTCGAGGAAGACTCGCTGCTCTCCGTGATCGTGGACAAGAAACTGTCGTCGCGGCTCCCCTTGCCAAGGTGCCGGCGTGGGTGCCGCGTCGCCCCGGGCGCCTTGTGCGAAGAAGGCCAGTTGCTCAGACCTCCGACGACATGATTGTTTCAATCCTGGCGTTTTCCGCCGATTCGGTTATTAGCCCCGACTGTCAAAAATGTATCCGGGGACGAGAGTCTACCCCTGGGGATGCTGTCGGGACCTCTCATGAGGCCGCGGATTGAAAGCATCGTATCGGCGAACGTCAGGGTGAAACAACGGCGGCCCTACCACCCGACTCAAATCCGTTCACCATCGGTTCCAACTCCTCTCCCGAGATCCATGCTGACCCGTTGGTCGAGATCTGGCCGTGGCGGCGAGAACGAAGAACGCCCAGAAGGGCCGCCGTTGTGTCGACTGACCCTCCTGATGTTTCCTACAGAGACGCCGGCGGAAGGAACTTCTGAGACCTCAGCGTTGCGTTTAAAGACTTCGAAGGGCGAGTGAACGCATCATGCGACGACCTTGCCCCTCCACCGAGTCTTCCTCTTCCTCCCCCTCCGTTTGCCTCCATGGTGGTGCGCGAAACCGAACGGACTTGAGATAGCAACGTCGCCCGTCTCAAAAATCCCTTTGCCTTAGGGTTCCAGTTGAATGCGTGTCTTAGGAAACAACTCCAGCAGGAATAGTGCGGGTACGATTACGGGCTATGGAACCCGGTTAAAAGGGTCCAGTGAGGCAGATTAGGCCGGATTGAGCCCAGGATTGAGCCCGACTGCGCGGGACCAAGCAGAATGAGCGGGGCTAGACGGGGTTCTGTCGGATGGGCCATCGCTGATGCTGAACTCAACCCCTCAGGAGTCGCATCCTGACCAAAAGGTGACCCAGACCTCCGACGATGTCTCTTTTTCAGTCCTGACGTTCCTTCTAGATGTTGGCATCTGTGGCCCGCTGTCGGGCCCCAGGGCCACAAGAAATGGACCCGGGACGGAAAGCTGGTCCCGAGGAAGGGGTCGGGACCACTGGGGCCGCGTGCTTGTAACATCGCATCGTCAGATGTTGGGGGGGTTAGCACAGCGGGGGCTAGCACACCAGCCCACGTAGATGGTTACCCTCGCGCCAGGGTCGACATTATGATGAAATCACGTCGTCTGGGGTCTGGGAAGTTCCCATACCGCTACTCCCCGGACCTCTCGAAGGGTGCATTCTGAACTGAATATCAAAGAGAATCCAGCGGTGGCGACGATGGCTCTCCAGGAAGAGCAGCGGCGTCGGTGCATGCCCTCCTCCAATTTCGCCCGACACGAGAAAATCTCAGGAACTGCATCCTGACGTAATTCTAATCCTCTGGCCTTGGTCGACGGCCGCTCGGCGCTCCCCTCCACCTGAGGGGCAACGACAGGGGGGCGGGGGAACAGCTTACAGGGTAAAGCATCGAGCTTGAATCGGCGATGCATCGCCGATGCATCGGCGATAGGGACTCAGTGGCAAAACCTCTCGTTGCTGGACGGGGTGAGCTATCGGGCCGCTAGCGGTGATGAATGAGCGACTGAACTAGGAGGGAGAGGACCTACCTAAACATAAACGACGATCCGCGCGAAATTCTTGGATCGGTACTGGACCCGCCTCCCTGGAGAGCGGAGCGCGCAAGGGGCGGCGCTGGACACGCCGCGAGATGGCTCCAGCAACGATCCAACAAATCCGCGCGGACCTCCAAAAGTTTATGTCTAGAATAGGCTCATGTCGCGATGACGTCGGCATTGGTTCCTGACACCGCGCGGATCGTTCGGCCTCGGACGATCGCGGCTGTCCGGTAGCGCAGATCGCGCGATACCTTGCGATTCTGGACCACTGGCGGCGTTCAACCTTGAACGCCCGCACTGGGGCCGCTGCCGCGTCAACGCGGCCCGAGCCATGTCATTGCTTGCTCCCCGACTCCACCCCCGAACGTTGCCCCCGACCACCGCCACAGCGGCCGCCGGCGTTTTGCTTAGTGGCCGTTCGGAGCCCGGCGGCTCGGCCGAGGCGCCCCGCCGGGTGCCTGGCGACGCCGCGCCGAGGCTGGCAGCGGCGCCCTCGCCCTCGCGAGCGCGCCCGGCGTCCCCGCCCGCCACCGCCAGCCCGCGGCCCGCCCGGGGCGCCGCGTCGGCGGACCTCTTCGGCAGACGGGGAGCGGCACAACAAAAAGCTGCCCCGCCGTCGGCAAAGGTCCATCATCATCATCATCATCATCATCATCATCATCATCATCAACATCATCATCATCATCATCATCATCATCATCATCATCATCATCATCGTCATCAACAACATTATCATCATCATCAGCATCATCATCATCAACATCATCAGCAGCAGCAGCAGCATCAGCATCCGCATCATCAGCATCATCAGCAGCATCAGCATCATCCTCATCATCCTCATCCTCATCCTCCTTATCAGCATCAGTATTGCCATCAAGAACTATCATCAACATCAGCATCAGCAAGATCATCATCAGCATCATCAGCACCATCAGCTCTATCAGCACCATCATCCTCATCCCCATCCTCATCCTCATCCTCATCCTCATCATCATCAACATCGTCCTCATCATCAACAGCATCATCATCCTCATCCTCAGCGTTATCATCATCCTCATCCTCATCAGAAGCAGCAACACGAGCATCAGCATCAGCGTCAGCGTCATCATAATCATCATCATCATCGCCATCATCACCACCATATATACCAGCATCATAATCAGCATCATCATCATCATCATCATCATCATCATCATCATCATCATCATCATCATCATCATCATCATCGTAATCATAAGCAGGTCTATCATCATCGTCATCATCAGCATCATCTGCATCATCACCATCACCACCATCTTTACCATCATTACCAGCATCATCGTCATCAGAATCATGATAATCATGGGTACTAGCATCGACAGTGCCATCCTCGTCATCATCAACAGCAGCATCACTATCGTCATCGTCATCATTATCATTATCGGCATCATCATCATTATCATCATCGATATCAGCACCATCGTCATCAGCATCATCACCATCAGCATCAGCAGCATCGTCATCATCACCATCTTCATAAGCGTTATCATAATCATAATCCTTATCATGATCATGATCAGCATCATCATCATCATCATCATCATCATCATCATCATCATCATTATCATGATCATCATCATCATCATCAACATCATCATCATCATCATCATCATCATCATCGTCATCATAACCGTCATTACCATCGCCATCATCAACACCATCATCACCATCACCGTCACCATCACCATCACCATCACCATCACCATCACCATTATCACCATCGTCATCAGAATTCATAACTATAATTTCTAGCATAATCATCACCACCATTCATATCGGAGATGCGTCGGCGCCTTCGGCGAGGAGAAGATCCGAATCCACATCGTGCTGCATTGGCGCTTCATCGGCGATGCGGAGCAGCCCTCCGACCGCAACGACTCGGACATCTGGGAGGCCTGATCCCGCAGGCGGGGACGCAGGTCCAGGCGGCCTGCAAACTCGTGTGCCCCTGCCGTGGCACGGAAGGGGCATAAACTGCCCGGCCGCCCAAGGCACAAGCGCCTCCGACGGCGAAATAGCCTTCTCTCGTAATGCGAGGCGGGGATGATATATCTATAGCCACAGCCCCAGGATTCAGTATCGAACTTCGGGGGCCTCGGCAGGCGGTGGATCTGGATATGTTCGGCCCTCCCAAGGCGCAACTATATCCAATATCCACCGCCTGCCGATGTCCCCGAAAATCGATCCCCCAAGCGGTGGTCATGGGCTAACAACCCGCTTCGGACAAGATGATGGGGGTCCCAACGCCGTGTGGTGACAGACCGCGCTGTGACCTCGGCAAAGGGAGCTCATCGCGCGGTCCGTCGCCGCACGGCCTCAGGACCCCAGAGGCCCTGGGGCCCGGGGCCAATCTGAGAAATCCGCGCGGAACCCACAGAAATTATGTTTAAGCAACTTTTCCGATAGATCCGATACCTTAATTCTTTCAATGCGGGATCCCCGGAAACCTCGACACTTTCCCCAGGGCCGGCTTTTCGTCCCGAACCGTTGTTGACTCTCTGAGAGCCAGGCGAGGGCCTCCAAAGACCGAAGAGGGCGAGCAACATCCGCCGTCATTCTTTAGCATGTTGGATCTCAGAATCCTCGCGGAGCTCCGAGAAACTGTGCTCACCTAGATCATATAGCTTCGCGCATCGCGCCCTCGCGATGCGCGGTATCTGCGCGCCCCAGCGATGTCGCCTCTGCCGGGGGGCAGCTCTCCAGCCCAGGACGCGGCACGCGGGGCGCGAGTTATCTTCGCGCCCCTGGGGGTGACCCAGCCAGTGCACGTGTTGCCCTTCGAGGAATGCCGCTCCTCGCCCGCCGAGGCCTGCGCCGGGGGTGGCTCGCTCCGCTGGCGGGCTCGGCGGGGGGCGGGCCGAGCGGCGGTGACGCCTCGCCGCGTGCGGGCGGCGCGCCCGCGGGGGCGTCCACCTGAGCAGCGGCAGGCCACCAGCCCCGCATCTACGAACCCCCGAAGCTTGGGCGCCCGAGTTATCCATTCTGTCTCTGGCCCAGTGTGACTCCGACTGGGCCCCCCTACTCACGAACCGAGAGTTACCCCTGACCCCCACTCAGCCCCAATGATTCGGAACTGGTCGGACACCGAAGTGATTCGAGGACAACTCTGGTCCGGGATCACTCCAGTTTGGGCCTTCCAAGCACGAATCAGGAGCTACCCCTGACGACCCCCAGCCCTGATGATTCGGGGCTCTGAGTGAGCACCCCGCGGTGCGCGCGGCAAAACAGTCAAGAGGGGGACGCGGGGAATCTTCCTAAACTCTACCTTCGAAAATCCGCGTTGTTCTACATCGCCAACCTTGGTGCAATTCTGAACCCCCCTAGATCCCAAACCCACTACCACCATCACCATCACCGTGAACATTGCCATCGCCTTCGCAATCACAATCAATACCACCATCATAATCACTTCCACCATCATCATCATCATCATCATCATCATCATCATCATCATCATCATCATCATCATCATCATCATCATCCTCATCATCATCCTCATCCTCATCCTCATCCATCATCCTCATCCTCATCCTCATCCTCATCATCCTCATCATCCTCATCCATCCTCATCCTCATCCTCCTCCTCCTCCTCCTCCCTCCTCCTCCTCCTCCTCCTCCTCCTCTCCTCCTCCTCCTCCTCATCCTCATCCTCATCCTCATCCTCATCTCATCCTCATCCTCATCCTCATCCTCATCCTCATCCTCATCCTCATCCTCATCCTCATCCTCATCATCATCATCATCATCATCATCATCATCATCATCATCATCATCATCATCATCATCATCATCACCATCACTATAAATAATGATCATCAATACTACCATCATAGCAAAGTCAGACGGTAGCGACAGGTGGGGGGGAATGTTTATAGCACCCGCGCCCGCCGTAAGAAGGTGTCAGTAGAGGTGCTCGTGCGGTTAGACCCAGGTCCAATTCCGTAAATCCCTCGGCCCTAACAATGCTAAAACCTCGTCTCTTCTCCCGCAAACCTGCACCGACCTTTCCAGCCGGCGGGCCCGTTGCCGTCTTTAGAAAGCAACTCAAGGAAGCTTCTGGTCGTCCCCAAGGCCCAATAGCGCGCCCACTCCCGCGCACAAGGGCCAGAATGCATCTCCCGCACATGGCGCTCCTGGGCGCTACTGGTCGCTATCGGGTGCTATTTGAAAACTGTTCGGCGCTACTTGGCGTTATTTGGCGTTCCCTGGCGCCTCCTGAACGCGATTGGGCACTGTTCTCGAAACTTTCGGTGATTCTACCATCTAGCCATCTTACAGTCAACCAGTATAGTAAGGATGCGCGATAAGGATGCAAGGGCCTTGGACGCTCATTTCATTTCGAAGCTTTTCGAGCGGGGCGCGGCCAGCGAAAGCGGCGAAGGATGGACCGAGGAGGCAAGGATGCAAGGCTACCCTTGGGAAGGTTACCCATCCTCACTATCCTGCTTGACTGTACCCCCACCAGCTCCCGCCGAAGGCGAGGGCGCGCCACGGGCGGAGACTCTCCACAAACAGCCGGCGATGCGACCTCTGTCCACGCGCGGCCCCGAGAGGTCCCCGCCTTCTCCTGCGGCAACTCGCGGGAGCCTCCCACACCACCTTGATGGATCTTGCGAATAGGCGCTGACCGACGCTAGGCAAGGCTAAGTCGGCTCTGCCTCATGGACTACCAAAGGCTAGTGCGCGCTAGCGCGCTCTGAAGACGGAACTCCGAGGGTACGCATGGCCCCCACAATTTGCGACAGATCCGTTTTGATGATCGTGTGCATGCTCGCGGATGGCCCCGGGCACAGCGGGCGCAGGGTGCGAGGCAACATTGCGATGCCGAGCTGTGAACTGCCGCGCGTAGCGGTAGAATGCAGCTTCTGACTTGCAGGCCGAATGGGTCTGCCCGATACTGTGCGGAGGCGCCGCGGCGGCGCGGACAGCCTTGGACAGGCCGCCCCCTGGCCCGATGACGGCTCCAACGATGCCGGAATCGAGGAGCGACGCTCATAGCGGAGCCCCCCCCAAAAAACTAGGAAAAACGCCCACAGCGAGCAGATCACACCGTCGAATATCTGGACTTCTGGAGCACTTCGCGGCGACAAGAGACGGACCTTACGCGAGATGGCGCAGCGGTTTACGCTGGCCGCTGGCGCGGCACGCCACACTGGAAACGAGGGCGCCTTCGCGCCACCCTGCTCGTGAAGGTTGCGCGCCAATGTCGGCGCAGTCGACGCAGGAGGAAGAGGAGGAGGAGGAAGAACAGAAGACATTTCGCTGGAATCCAGAGCCTGCGCCCCAATTACGGGATTCGGATTCGGACTCGGCACACTTGCGAAGCAGCATCAAGAAGAACGGACTGACAAAACATCACACAGGCCACAGGGCCGTCACCGCCACCGCCCACAACTGTGGAACCAAACGCTCTGAGATGCTTTGGATTTTACCGTACTGAAGCCCACTTGCGGGTAAATCCACACGAAGGAGAGAGACGTA